CCAGAGGGCACAGAGACAGTATCCAAATTAATAAAATCAGAACTGAAAAGGGAGACATAACAACAGAAACTGAAGAAATTAAAAAAATCATCAGATCCTACTACAAAGGCCTATACTCAACAAAACTGGAAAACCTGGATGAAATGGACAATTTCCTAGACAGATACCAGGTACCGAAGTTAAACCAGGAGCAGATAAACCATCTAAATAGTCCCATAACCCCTCAGGAAATAGCAGCAGTCATTAAAAGTCTCCCCACTAAAAAAAGCCCAGGACCAGATGGTTTTAGTGCTGAATTCTATCAGACCTTCAAGGAAGACCTAATACCAATTCTCTTCAAACTATTCGACAAAATATAAACAGAAGGAACACTACCCAATTCGTTCTATGAAGCTACAATTACACTCATACCCAAACCCCACAAGGACCCGACAAAGAAAGAGAACTTCAGACCAATCTCCCTTATGAACATCGATGCAAAAATACTCAATAAAATTCTAGCAAACCGAATCCACCAACACATCAAAACAATCATCCATCATGATCAAGTAGGTTTTATCCCAGGAATGCAGGGATGGTTCAATATTCAGAAATCCATCAATGTAATCCACTATATAAACAAACTTAAAGAAAAAAACCACATGATCATCTCACTAGATGCTGAGAAAGCATTTGACAAAATTCAACATCCCTTCATGATAAAAGTCTTGGAAAGATCAGGAATTCAAGGCCCCTACCTAAACATAGTAAAAGCAATTTACAGCAAACCAGTAGCCAACATCAAGCTAAATGGAGAGAAACTTGAAGCAATCCCACTAAGATCAGGGACTAGACAAGGCTGCCCACTCTCCCCCTACCTATTCAATATAGTACTGGAAGTCCTAGCCAGAGCAATTAGACAACAAAAAGAAGTCAAAGGGATACAAATAGGAAAGGAAGAAGTCAAAATATCGCTATTTGCAGATGATATGATAGTATACTTAAGTGACCCCCAAACTTCCACCAGAGAACTCCTAAACCTGATAAACAACTTTAGCAAAGTGGCTGGTTATAAAATCAACTCAAACAAATCAGTAGCCTTCCTCTACATGAAAGATAAACAGACTGAAAAAGAAATTAGGGAAATGACACCCTTCACAATAGTTGCAAATAATATAAAATACCTTGGTGTGAATCTAACCAAGCAAGTGAAAGACCTGTATGACAAGAACTTCAAGTCTCTGAAGAAAGAAATCTAAGAAGATCTCAGAAGATGGAAAGATCTCCCATGCTCATGGATTGGCAGGATTAATATAATAAAAATGGCCATCTTGCCAAAAGCAATCTACAGATTCAATGCAATCCCCATTAAAATCCCAACTCAATTCTTCACAGAGTTAGAAAAGGAAATTCTCAAATTCATATGGAATAACAAAAAACCCAGGATAGCGAAAACTATTCTCAACAATAAAAGAACTTCGGGAGGAATTACCATCCCTGACCTCAAGCTGTACTACAAAGCAATAGTGATAAAAACTACCTGGTATTGGTACAGAGACAGGCAGGAAGAGCAATGGAATAGAATTGAAGACCCAGAAATGAACCCACACTCCTATGGTCACTTGATCTTTGACAAAGGAGCTAAAACTGTCCAGTGGAAAAAGGACAGCATTTTCAACAAATGGTGCTGGTTCAACTGGAGGACAACATGTAGAAGAATGAAAATTGATCCATTCTTATCCCCTTGTACAAAGCTCAAGTCTAAGTGGATAAAGGACCTCCACATAAAACCAGATACACTGAAACTAATAGAAGAGAAGGTGGGGAAGAGCCTCGAATACTTGGGCACAGGGGAAAAGTTCCTGAACAGAACTCCAATGGCATATGCTCTAAGATCAAGAATTGACAAATGGCACTTCATAAAATTGCAAAGTTTCTGTAAGGCAAAGGACACTGTCAATAGGACAAAACGACAACCAACAAATTGGGAAAAGATCTTCAAAAAATGTGGTATATTTACACAATGGAGTATTACTCAGCTATTAAAAACAATGAATTCGAGAGGTTCCTAGGTAAATGGATGGAACTAGAAATTATCATCCTGAGTGGGGTAAGCCAATCACAAAAGAACACATGGTATTCACTCACTGATTATTGGATATTAACCCAGAACCTTGAAATGCCCAAGATGAAACTCACAGGCCACATGAAGCCCATAAAGAAGGAAGACCAAGTGGGGGTGATTCGGTCCTTCTTAGAAGGAGCAACAAAATACTCAAGGGAGCAAATATGGAGACAAAGTGAGGGACAGAAACTGAAGGAGGGGCCGTCTCAAGACCACTCCACCTGAATATCTATCCCATGTGCAATCACCAAAGGTAGATGCTGATGTGGAAGTCAGGAAGTGCATGCTGATAAGAGCCTGATATGGATATCTCCTCAGAGGTCTTCAAGAGTCTGATATACTCAGAGGCAGATGCTCACAACTAGCCATTGAACTGATCATGGGGTTCTCAATAGAGGAGTTAGAGTGAAGACTGAAAGAGAGCTGAAAGGATTTGCGGCACCATGAGGAGAGCAACAATACCAACCAACCACAGCTCCCAGGGTCTAAACCACCAGCCTGGGAGCACTTAGGGAGGGATCCAGCGCTTCAGTTGAATATGTAAGAGTGGAGGGCCCTGCTGGGCATAGGTGGAAGAAGAGAACCTTGACAGCATGAAGGCTGGATGCCCCAGGGGGTGGGAATTTTGAGGGTGGGGAGGTGGGAGTGGGGGGGGTAGATAGAGGTTACATCCACAGAGAAGAAGGAGGAGGGGTGAGGGGATTGGGGGTTCCTGGGTGGGTGGGGAATGGGGTAAGGGGACAACATAGGAAATGTAAATAAAACATCCAAAATAAAAATTTAAAAATTTAAAAATTTAAAAAAAAAAGTGATCCTAGTTCAAGGCCCTTAGGTAGTATGCACGCTGGGTTTTATAGTCTTCCTACAATAGCCTACACAGCCATGGTTTGTCCTTCCAGATGCACAGAAACATATCTATATATGAACCCAGAGGGGACTGACTGTGTCCTTCTGCCCACTATTGCCCTAGATGCCCCTGGCCTCACTCACAGCCGCACTCACAGTGCCTCTCCAAAAACCATGTGCTGGCTCACCTGTGTCATACTGGGGTAAACCCATCTTTTTTAAAAAACTTATTTAGCTGAACACAGTAGTGTTTAGGTGGAGCACGGGATGATCTCAGCTACAGAAGACACAGCGCGGCGGCCCAAGCCTCTTTTCTCAGCATCCTCCGGGCTAACAAGACAGCATCAACATTCCCAAGATGCCATGCCATGTGGAGGCTGGTGTGGAAACACAGGATGAGATTCTAACAGTGTGTCCTTCATTGCATACCCTTAATATGCTTCAAAACTGGAAGACAAATGAATTTATATCTGCTCTTCAAAGGAGTCCTATCCCCTGAAGTATCTTACAAATACACTCTTCTGTACAAGCCACTCCAGAAAGACTGGAAGGGAATGTCTCTCTATGTCCTGAGGTAGCATTCTTTAACCATGGTCCACACTCGTTATTCCATAAACACACTATAGTCTTACCATCAATAAATATGTATCCAATACAAATTGTGTGTCAGGCCCTGTTCTGAACACTGGCATGGCAAAGAGGAATGAGACCTAAGTCTCCTCAGGGATTTCAGAACTCAGAAGAGGAAGGAGACAGATCCCACATCGGAGCAAAGCCTACCTCTGCCACCTCCTGGACAGCAGTGGGATAGGAAAGCCAGGGGAGCCTCACCTCAACCCAAGAGCACAGCAGGACTATGTGCTCCCCAAAGCTGCCAGAGGATACAGCTCAGGGCTTTCCCAGTGCTGGACCAGAGAGGAGAGAAAAAGAAGAACAAAGGAAAAGAAAGCATGCCAAGAGAGGTTGGAGAGGGAGGGATGGAGAGAGAACTGATAAATCTCACACAAAGATCTTTAACTCCATGGATACACTTCTCTTCCCTGTTTTAGAAATAGCATCTGGCTCCATTACCCATGTGACTTCAAAATCAGAGTCTCAAGAGTTCTCAGTAAGAGGTCAGTGAGATGGAAGGCCACTTGCTTAACAACCTGAGATACAGAAAAGCTCTTAGAGGTATACAAAGAAATACCCTACACTGGCAAAGAATGCTTCCTGCCCAAGGATTATCCAATAAATTTGTGTTAGTATCCTAAGTGGGAAACTCAACACAATTCCTTATTTTCTGCCAAACTGTACTACAATTCCAGTCCCTGTGATTTAGGTGGCAGAGTTAGTATCCTGAGTGGGAAACACAACACAAATGTCAATTCCTCCTCATTTTCTGCCAGGCTGTGCTTCCTGTGCTACAGGAATTCAAGTTCCTGCAACATAAGTGGCACCTTCATTTACTTTAAACACCCGAAAGAATATGTACACAGGTACAACTTTAAAGTATGGGAAAACAATGAAAAACTTATGCAAACACTGAAGAAGACTGAGTCACATGGGCGAGAAGAAGCATGACTGCCAGGAGGACAGCCGAGTATCCTCTCTCCAGTCTTCTCCTGCTATCTTCCTTGGCAGCTTCTTTCAAAATTCCTTAAGGAAAAAGCCTAAGATGTCAATCATATGACCTCCCCCTTTTCCTGGCTGGTTTTAACCCCTAACAGCACCCTGCATACTTTGAAATAACAGATAACCTGACATCTTTCTTTTCATGGTAAACGTTTATAAAAACAGCTCAAGTTCTGCAGTGGTAGGATAGGGAAGTGAGCCATCATCCCGTAAATATAAAACAACTTTCAGAAAAGCTTGCAAAGAAAATCGCCAGCGTGTCGCAACCTGGCCCATTGTTGGCCTGGCTAGGTTGCTCATATGTGCTGGCCCACAGCTCTTCACCCCTTGCCCTCTGTCCGTCCCCCCAAACCCTCCCCCCAACTCCTGCCCAACTCCAGTCAACTACTAAAGCACTGTGTTGAGCTGCTGTCCATCTGCGTTCAGCTCCAGAGATTCCTTCAGGTTCATTGCTCTCTGACCGCCTCACTAAGCACTACCAGCTATGTCGTCCTGCATTCACGTGGCCGTGGTAACTGGAGGTAACAAGGGCATCGGCTTTGAGATCACGCGTGACCTGTGTCGCAAATTCTCAGGGGACGTGGTACTCACAGCGCGGAACGAGGAACGGGGCCGCACGGCGGTGCAGCAGTTGCAGGCTGAGGGGCTGAGCCCACGCTTCCACCAGCTGGACATCGATGACCCTAAGAGCATCTGCGCGCTGCGCGACTTTCTGCTATAAGAGTATGGAGGACTGGACGTACTGGTGAACAACGCGGGCATCGCCTTCAAGGGTAAGCCTTGGGGTTTGGAGAGGGAAGGAGGCTTCCCCAGAGGCTGGTGCCAGGGTGGGCTGTAACTCTCTGGGAGCATTACTAGGACCAGCAGCACTATGCTGTGGGACTCTGAAACAGATCCCCTGGGAGAAACAGGATAGGCTAGGGGCTGCAGGGATGCAGGAAAGCAGAACATCAATTCTCCCTCCCTGTGTTTACATAGAAAGATCTACTCGCCATCTTTTCCAGGTTGCCTCACAAAGTTGTTGAGTAATTGGGTTTATGGATACTTGAGGAGAATTCTTATCTGACAGCGACATAAAAAAACAGACTGAGAGGAGGAAAGAGCCCAGGGGAAAGGTGTTACATTACGATCCTGATATACAACCTTCACCCAGCCTCCCCAGTGGTGGTGCCTTCCAAAAACAATAGAACATTGTCAGATGGACAGTGAGGCAGAGCTATAACTAAACACAGACTGTACTTGGAAGTGGATCTCTAACTCTCTGTGTTAGGTCTTTAC